GATTCGGCGCAATCCTACGGCCAGGAAAAGACTGGCTAAGGCAGGGAGGAGAACAGCTAGGATTTTGAGACTTAAGTACGCTGGGGCTCTGGTTGGAAATATTCAGAGGTCGGGGCCTCAGGCATGCGGGCTCTGGGGCTCGGCTGTTGCGGGTCTGACTCCCAGACAACTGCATAATATGAGGTTGTCGGCTTCCAGGAGCCTTTGCAAAGATAAAGCTGGAGCTCTTATGTCGTTCAGACTTCGGTCGTTTCCTACTGGGGCCTCTATGGATCCTTACGTTATTTACCATGGCAATGTGATATATCAATGGTGTCGTGTTGTATGGGATGGGGCTCCTGGGCTCCACATCATCCAGAAGGTGTTTGAGAAGGCTTCAGATGACCTTTGGAGATCCAGGAGGCCTTGGCACGTATGTACGTCGCCTGCGCACGTGTACCTACTGACGACGGCTGAGCTGGGTTGGAGGCCGCTCACGGCCAGGAAGGTACGGCTCTGTGACGGAGAAATGATCGACATGCTGGAGCTTGCGCCCTTGGCAGTCAGAAGGCTGGCTGAACGTGATGCAGGACACCGGGCTGACAAAAGGGCTCTCATGAAACGTCCCAAGTGCAACGCTGTTTGGTGTAGGCCTGTCTATTGGGAAGGGGCCAGGAATCTGCTGTCGGGCAAAACCTCGATGTCCTGGACCAAGCACCACCAAGCGTGTGCCAGGAACACCTTCTCCCTGGGGACCTGGACGCAGGCTCGCCTTAAGGACCATGGGCTTTCTGAGGAGGACCTCTGCCAGCTCTGCCGTGCCGAACGAGGAACGCTATATCACAGGCGTTTCAGGTGCGAGGCTTTCCTGGAGGACAGAGGAGTTCGCCTATCGAAGCAATGCTTGATGGCCGCCCGACATGCGCGTGACATGAATCAGGACCTGGAAAAGTTCGCTGCTGGAGTGCTACCCTACCCCAAAGAACTGATCCCCCAGGCCCTAGGTAGGGATAAATGTTCTATCTGTTGGTTTAACAAGCCCGCTTCTGGTAAACTCCAGGGCTTGATTTTTTCTGATGGGTCCGCGGTCCACCCCACCTGCGAGTTTAGGAGGCGAGCGGGGTGGAGCCTCGTGCAAGTGAACCCCCAAGGGGAGATTTTGCGTGCCGCCTTCGGTCCTGTGCCTAGGGAAGTAGCGCCCAGCCAGAAGGCCAGAGATGGCGAGGACTATGCATATAGGATGGCGGCTGAGCTTGTTGACCCGTTTTTTGATTTCGAGATTTGCACCGACTGCTCTGGGACTCTTGGGTGTGTTTGGGATAGGGCCAAAAGCTGCTCTTCCCAGAATCCCAGGGCCCATCTCTGGAGTTTTGTCTGGCATGTTTTTGAGGATGGTCTGAAGGCCAGAAAGGCCAAAGGACACGCCACGTCGGCTGACGTTCTCAATGGGGCTTGCAGTGACCTTGAGAGGCTCGGCAATAGGCACGCGGACAGGTTTGCCAGGCAAGGAGCTGGAATGCATCCCATGCCAGAGATTTTTGCGCAGGCCATCGACACCTGCCGCTCGGTCCAGGAAGAGATCGTGCGATGGGGAGCGATTCAAGATGTCAGCATGGCCGATAGAGGTTGGGCTGACGCGTCGGGTTTCCTTGGGTCCGCTGGGGCTGTGAAATCGGAGCACGATTTCCCCAGCAGTGATAATAAGGGACGAATTCGAGGCCAGGTCAGGGCCATGCGCCAGCTTTCGGCACCCTGGTGGCCAAGAGTTGACTTTCGTGTGCCGATCATCTCGGACACTTTGGCCGAGCATTCTGGCAGCACTGAGCAGTTGTCTGAGCTTGCTTTGCTGTCCCGCCTCCAGGGACACAACCTTTGCAAAGCAAAGGTCTTCGTGGGAGATGGGAGTCGGGCTGCTGGTAGTGGGTGGGTGATGTCATGCATCTGCTGCGGAGGTTATGCGTGGGCTGGTGTGGCCTCGCAAGCCAATAGATGCCCAGGCCACCCCCCCACCAAGGACCTCAGACGACAGAGGACGAGGTTTGCCAAAGGGGACTTCCCCAGCTGGGCTCGGCAGTACAAGGGTTGGTCGGTCACTGGCCACCGATCGCCCACCCCGTTGGATTTGGCGCCCCTGGTCCGTGCGTCGCACAAAGGGGTCCAACTTTCAGGGGGGGCTGAGCCTGAGGCTTGTGCTTTAATTGATGGTCTGTGGGAGGAGAAGTGGACACCTGGTCAGCTCCTCACCCGCTTTGGCCTGGTTTTGCCAGCTGGGGCTGATCAAGGTATTGGGTCCTAAGCTGTGTTTGTTGTTAGGGGCAGGTGGCACTGACACCTGCCTCCACAGAGAACAGAACAGAACAAGTCAGCCCACGAAGCCCAGATGGGGCAAGAGCTGATGGGGTCGGAGGATCCCGCCGCATCGCCGTCGCATCGGCAGTGCGGCCCGATCTGGAGCTCGACGCTCTAGATCTCCATGCCGCCGATGCATCGGCGGTGTGGCGATATCCTCCCCTTGTGAGGTGATCCAGCTGCTTTCGCACCATGTCGTTACGCGACGTGAGAGCCACGAGACATCGGGCAGATGCACCGCGTTAACACGATCCCTCGAAACGACTCAACAACAAACAGAGGGCATTCGGTGGTCGCGTCGCTTTCCCACCATGTCTTCAACGATGAAGAACTAGAGGGAGTATGGTGGGTGCGCTGCTTTCGCACCATGTTCCTCATGATACAAACATCCAGAAGACAGACAATGAAAACAACAGCTTTTTCACCATGCATTTAAGCGCGCAAAAATCAACGCAGGTATAGTGAGCACACTCATATCGCACCGTGCATTCAGTGCTGCAAAAATTAGATTGCAGATGGGTGATGTATAGCTGTCGCACCATAGCGGAAACGATGCGACAGCCAGATGACAGATGTTGTGTGCATTGCATACCACCCACCTCTTGACATATGGTTACATGTTGCTTGTTACTTGTGTTCGCGCGATAATGCGTGTAGTGTGCACATCTGTTTATGAACACGCATACGTCTACACACAAAGGTTGACTATATACATGTACATATGTTTATAAGCCCAATTATATGCATACGTGCTCACATGTATAGACATACAAACATACACATATGTATACATTTACGTATGCATGATCGCGTACACGTATGCATACTGTGTAGATACATGCTTGTTTTCACATATAACCAGCACACACATTCACACGCAACCACATCCGTATACATATACACATGCTTACTACGAGCACGCGCATGCGTCTATGTACAACTGTTAGTGCATGTATGCATGCACGCAGATGCACACATATACACATGTCTATATGTGAAAGAGCGTGTTCCACCGCTGCTGGCGGAAAACAGGGGGGGGTCACTACCGTGTCGAACCCCCCCCATTCCAGAAAACCGGGGGGGGGTCACTACCGGTTCGAACCCCTCCCCCCCCAGTCCATCATGAAAAGGGGGGGGGTCACTACCGGTTCAAACCCCCCCCCCCTGGAAAACCAGGGGGGTTCACTACCGGTTCGAACCCCCCCTCCTCCCCCTTTCTCGAAAACGAGGGGGGTCACTGCCGGTTCGAACCCCCCCCCTTCGCCGCCGGGCTGAGGAGAGTGGGGACATTGACACACTGGTGGGGGTACTGCCATGGTGGGGACAGCGGGGACAATGGTGGGAACAGTGAGGACAGTGGGACAGTGGTGGGGACGGTGGTGGACAATGGTGGGAACAGTGGGGACAGTGGGACAGTGGTGGGGATGGTGGTGGTGGGGACAGTGGTATGGTGACAGTGGGAATGTGGTGGAAACAGTGGGACAGTGGAGGGTACAGTGGTGGTGGGGACAGTGGTGAGGGCGGTGGCGAGGACGGCGGTGGGACAAAGGGACAGAGGTACAGTGGGGACAGTGGTGGGGACAGTGGGGACAGTGGTGGGAACAGTGGGACAGCTCAGTGGGACAGCGGAGGAGACAGTGGGACAGTGGGGACAGTGGGGACAGTGGGGACAGTGGGGACAGTGGGGACAGTCGGGCAGTGGTTGGGGCCGTGGAGAAAGTTGGGAGAGTGGAACCGTGGTGGGAACAGTGGTGGGGACAGTGGGGACAGTGCGACAGTGCTGGGGGCACTGGTGGGGACAGTAGGGAAGGTGGTGGAACCAGTGGGGAGTGGTGGTGAGGACAGGGGTGCTGGGGACAGCACTAGTGGGGGATGTGGTGCGGACGGTGGTAGGGACGGGGAGTCGTTTGCTGGCGG